CTTCAGTCGTTCATCGAGATGCTCGTTTGCTAACGGCATCAGTCCTGAGGAGGAGTCAGCTTGTGAATCATGACGACTGACACACACACCGCTCTACTGAGAGTGACAGCATCTGTGACACACACACACACATTCACAGCCGCTTATGACTTGTCCACAGGCATCATGCCGATATAAGTGCCATTTTTCTCGTCTTGATCGTCCACTTTGGAGCTCACAGGAGCATATGACGTGTCTTTCTTTGCAGATGGCTAAAAAGAAGAAAGAAAAGACAATAAGATTGATTTAGTATGAGTTATACTAAATAAAGTATGAGTAATAGTAATAGTATGAGTTACACAAACACTTGGAAAACATACTACAAGTTCATATACTTAAGTAGAGCATGTTTCAGTCCTTTAACTAGTTTGCAAGCATCACATGATTAACCAGACTAGTTAGTGATTCAGTTCAAGCTGAAGTGAGTTAAGCCTGTTTCACACATCTGAGTATTTCCATTAATAATGCACGTAAATGCATGTATATTTTCATACCTGGCTTTTGAGTCTGACCCATGATAGACTACATTTTTTAATTATTATTATTGTTTTGTTTTATTTTTGTCACAGTTGACCGTTAAATTGCACTTTGTGATGCACTCGTATCAGAAACAAATAAACTCGAACTCTAAATGTTAAAATGGTTATTGGAAGTGAACCAATTCCAATATGCAAATGTAATATACAGTATGTAAATATATTACATTTACATTTATAAAGCAGTCATATGAAGTAAAAACATCAGAACTGGGAACAATTTCATATATTAACATATACATCTAGCCCATGGTTATTTTAATAAAGTTGCATATAAAGATAAAATATATATATTGCTGACAAATGTGGTTGCTATATATATAAATAATAGACAAAAATATAAATATTATTAACATATGTACAAATAAAAATTTTACTATGATGATTTTATATATCTTACATATCTTCAACTACTACAGAGAATGTACTTATGTGAAAATTATACATATCTGGCAATATCAGTCTAGTTATTGTGTAATATATGTCATGTATATTTCTGTATGGGAATAAGCAAATGACACGAGGCGGATCACATTTACATCCAAATGCTAGTTAATCTAATAATCCAGACTGTTTATTATACTCAAACATTGTATATAGTGCATTTCAGCGTTTTCTGTTGAGTTTATTTAATTTTCATTCATGCATTTGGCAGATGCTTTTATCCAAAGTGACTTGCATTGCATTTAGGGTTTGAATTTGATCAGTTCATGCATTTCCTGCGAATTGAACCCATGAGTGAAACAGGCCTGAAAAGAGTGCTGAATTTACAGGAGAGCCTCAGCGAAATCAAAGCGCTTCACTTCAGTTTAAACAAAACCAGATCAGCACAACACGATGTCCATCAGGTTAGAGTGACATACAAGCCAGCATGTTAATAAACCAAAGCACAGAATGGTTACTAGGTTAGTGAACTGATCATGAGAGCAGCCTGCGGCAGAAAAAAGCATGAGTTATGACAGGAAGCAGTCAGGAGACAGATTCATTTATATAAACCACAGGCAGAAGAACAGCAGGCTTTGGATGAAACCTCAACTCCACTAGATGCAGGATACTCGTCATTTAAAGCACAGTCACGCCACCGTTAAAAAGTGACTAACTGAAAGCAGAGAAGAAGCTACTGAAGAGCACAGCGGTTTTTAAAAAGACCAAATGATATAACTCATGTATGACATCTGAGTATTATTTATCTGAGACTAAAATAAACTATATTAACGGCATTAACCTCATTTAAAAAAAAAAAAAAATTTATAAATTACTTCATGCAGTGAAAAAATATTAAATACAATTAAAACATATTAAAAAATTATAAAAATATTTAAGTACAGTTTTATTTATCATATGTTCTTATATTTGTTGTTTTACTTTTTGTAATGAGCTTGTAAAGTCATAATATTGTTAATGCTATTTTGAGCTGTTGATCTTTGATCTGCTAATTGCAATTATTATTATTTACTATTATTAATAGTGCGATTTTTGATGACTTGTATTAAAACCAGTTATGCTCAGTTTGACCTAAAAACATAATGAAAATGATTATTTGCAATGATAGTATATGGAATTCACAACAATTAAAAAGCAATAACATAAAAATGTCCCCAGTTTCCATTTCAGAAAACTGATCAGCTTACATTAACCAGCATTTACAATAAATACAACTAATAAAACTAGAAAACATCAGAATCTGCTGAGTTGGAAAAGGTGTAGCATTTAAAAAAAAAAGAGAAATGAACAAAATGATCCACAGAATCACACTGAGAACGTTCCTTGTTAAGCAGGACTAGTGGAATTGAGTTTAGGCAACATTTTGAATAACATGCATTCAAACAGTTTGAATGGCATGCAGTGAAATGCATTTTAAATGCTACATTGTGAATATTTAGAGAACATTCAGAACTAATGCTTTCATAACATTCTCAGAACATATTTTTGTTCCTTGGATGTAGACTGAGTTACTGTCACATCAGTTTGTTTCATTTCAACGCTGACTGATTTTCTCAAACTCCACATGTCTTTTAGATTTCTCTGCTCTACAGCAGCAAGCGTGTGAATGAGAATATTGATTCATAAAGGCTGATGTGGAAGAATAGCGTTCAGTTTCCATAACAAACCCACTCAGAACACACTTTGAAATATTCGTGGAATGATTTGATGGTAGCTTTAGTGCGTGTGAACCGTGCTGACAGTGAATGTCACATTTTTGGGTTTCAGTTCAAACTTTGGTGGGAAAGTGAAGAATAAACTGGAGAATAATGGAGATTTTTCTGAAAGCCTGAACATTCTCACGCACACACACGCACACACACACACACACACACACACACACACACACACACATACACACACACGCACGCACACAAACCCACACTTCATGACCTTCAAGATAAGCATTATGTTTAAATAGCTGGCAGTTTGAAGTAGTTTGAAAAGCTTGTAGTTTGTAGGTTTGAAGTCTTTCAGACAGATAGATTGCTATGTGGTTGCTCGGCTGGTCTGTTTGAGAGCAAAGGCATTGCTAAACATTTGATATGGGGTCCTGGGGTTTAGCCAAAGTGTTGCTAGGGTGTTCTGGGTGGTTGCTAGGCAGTTGCTAGGGTGTTCTGGGGAAATGAGAAAAACAAAGTTGCTAGGGTGTTACTGGGTGGTTGCTATGCAGTTGCTAGGGGGTTCTGGGGAAATGAGAAAACCAAAGTTGCTAGGCTGTTACTAGGCGGTTGCTAGGGTGTTCTGGGTGGTTGCTAGGGTGTTCTGGGGAAATGAGAAAACCAAAGTTGCTAGGGTGTTACTAGGCAGTTGCTATGGTGTTCTGGGTGGTTGCTAGGCAGTTGCTGGGGTGTTCTGGGGAAATGAGAAAACCAAAGTTGCTAGGGTGTTACTAGGCAGTTGCTATGGTGTTCTGGGTGGTTGCTAGGTAGCTGCTAGGGTGTTCTGGGTAAATTAGAAAAACAAAGTTGCTAGGGTGTTACTAGGCAGTTGCTATGGTGTTCTGGGTGGTTGCTAGGTAGCTGCTAGGGTGTTCTGGGGAAATGAGAAAAACAAAGTTACTAGGGTGTTACTAGGTGGTTGCTAGGGTGTTCTGGGGAAATGAGAAAACCAACGTTGCTAGGGTGTTACAAGGCAGTTGCTATGGTGTTCTGGGTGGTTGCTAGGTAGTTGCTAGGGTGTTCTGGGTGGTTGCTAGGCAGTTGCTAGGGTGTTCTGGGGAAATGAGAAAACCAAAGTTGCTAGGCTGTTACTAGGCGGTTGCTAGGGTGTTCTGGGTGGTTGCTAGGGTGTTCTGGGGAAATGAGAAAACCAAAGTTGCTAGGGTGTTACGAGGCGGTTGCTAGGGTGTTCTGGGTGGTTGCTATTACCTTGTTCTGATAGAAGCGAATGGCGAGGATGATGGAGACAAGCAGCAGAATGACTCCCAGAGCCACGAGAATGAGCGGGAAATGAGACACCAGAGTCACGATCAGCAGCAGCTTCTGAATCCTCGCCGCTGAAGCGTCGTCAATCACCACAGACTGAAAAACATCAGAAAACATTCAGTTTCACAGGAGACGAAACCGTCGGTCACTAAATCATCCCGTTCAGGGGGAACCGCTGACGCTCACCTCATTCAGAAACAAAATGGGAAAGATGGTGCTGTTGAGATTCCTGGTCAAACTGAGGAAACAAAGGACAAAAAGTCAGCTATGAAACACACACTCACGGCTGTTTATCAACACGGCCCGATTAAAAATATCAAACAGGAAAGCATCACTCACGGAAAGCCGGTCACTCTCTCGAGATGAATGTTGATCTGGGCTCGTTTCATGGCACGAACAGGCACTCCCATAGTCTGAGGAAAAAAGTCAGATCTGAGCCAGACTGCAGCAATCAAACCAATTATTTCACAAAAACACTTTAGACAGGAAAAAATGCATTAGCAAATGAGACATCACAAAACACTTCAAAGCATCTTATCATATCACAGCAGATCTTACAGGGTTCAGATCCAGAAAGGTCTGATGATGCTCGTGCACCGGAGAAATGCCATCGATAGCTTTGGCATACTTCTCATCACCCAGATGAAAGTGAGGGAACGACATGACGACAGGAGCACCTGAGACACCCAAAAACAACAATTACACCACACAATCATTCACACTGATGCATTTCTGAAGCTTTTCTCCAAAGTGACTTGCATTGCAATCAAGGCTTTCATTTTACCAGTTCATGCATAATTATTTAGGCTTTTTTATTTACTAGGAAATTGTATACTGCATAAAGAAAATTAACTGTTTTTGTATTACCATTAAGATTTTTTTTCCATTGTGACATTATTTTCACGACTTTCAATTTTCAGTACAGTACTGTACATCCCAGTAAAAATTACTTTAACATTATTATTATTATTTTAAACAAATATTATTTAAATAATGTATAAAATGATGATTACATTAAATTAATAATTAAATTAAAACAGATTTTATTAAAGGATTAAATTAACTTGCATCACAAGAATAAATATCATTTTAACATATATTTGTATAGAAAACAGCTATTTTAATAACACTTCCCAATATTACTGTTTTTACTGTTTTTTGTACTGCATATTGATGAGCAGAAGAGACTTCTTTCAAAAACAAAAAACTAATTATTCCAAAAAAATTTATATAAATATAAAGATATATATATATATAGATATATAGATATATAAATCTGATGTTTACATATTGTAATTGATGTTCATGAACGTGTATTGTTCCTATTAAATAAACAAAAAATAAATAAATTAAATCTATTTTCAGTGAAATCTTGTGCTTAGTTTCATGCACTACAGAATTACAAGCTTAAACATTTAAACATGAGTGGATATCTTCAGAACAACATATTGCACGCACTATTTCTGCCGTGTGCTGTATGATTAATCACCCAGATGACCTCCTGCTTGACTTCTTCAAAATACAAAACAAGCTTTTCATTGCCAGGATTATAATTATAATTATAATAACTCACTCAGTGACTTAAGCAAAGCAATGAGTAAACCCTGTTTGAAAACATTCAGCATCCTGCAGCACATACACATCTTCCATTCACAAGTCAGTGACCTTGTCAGATAAAGGGATGTCCTCCAAACTCAGAACAACAGTCATTATGAATGTTTTTAGTCGTATAACAGCAGAAATGACGTCTCCTCCTCACACTGTCTTAACAATGCCTTCTCTGAAACGACCCCCCTGAGAGACGAGGAGTTTCATCCTGTCGTGACATTAAAGAGGCAACTCGTCTCATGAGAAGATGAAGGAAACTCTGACCTTGAGCATGAAAACAATCAGGAGTAGCCGCGAGTAACCCTGATCCTCCAACACACCAGGAGAAATCAGACTCCTGTGTTACTGGGACAGAGGTGAGAGTTTTCCAGCCCTCATGTTTGGCAACACACACTCTTGAGTGTATGTGTGTATGTGTGTGTGTGTGTGTGTGTGTGTGTGTGTGTGTGTGTGTGTGTGTGTGTGTGGGTTATTTCATACATCTGTAATATGCAAGCGCTCAAATGCTTTGGCAATGTTGTAATTGTGTATTGAAGCTCACATGAGCACAGCGTGACAGAAAACCATAAAACACAAACACAGAGCTGAGAGGAAGGTCAGCAGCTATTTTGTGTGTACGTTTCACTTTATGGATCAAAATAATACCCAGAATTTACTTAGATCTGAAAGAAAAAGTTTCAAAGAAGTATTTTCACAGTAGACAGGCAGAAAGTGCCTAGAAAATAGACTAAAACACTCAGAAACACTCATTTGCAACAGCTTAAAACTGCATAGCAACAGACTAAAACACTCATAACACCCTAGCAACTGCACAGCAACAGGCTAAAAACACTGAAAAACCCTAGCAACTGCCCAAAACTCTCAGAACACCCTAGTAACTGCATATAAACAGCCTATAAAACATTCAAAGGCTGTAGAAAGCATGACTACAACCTAAAAAACACCCAGAACACCCTAGCAACTGCATAGCAACAGCCTAAAACTTGTAGAACTCCCTAGAAATTGCATAACAACAGCCAAAAAACACTCAAACTGCATAGAAACAGACTAAAACACGTGGAACACCCTAGAATTTGCATAGCAACAGCCTAAAAACGCTCAAACACCCTAGCAACTGCAAAGCAACAGACTAAAACAAGTGGAACGCCCTATAAATTGCATAGTAACTACTTAAAAATACTAAAAACTGCATAGCAACAGTATGGCAAATTCTGCACATGCAAACAGCACTTCATTAAAACTTTAGTTATGATGAGCTTTATACAAAAAAATAACAGTCTCTGGTAGGTCCTCATTTTTCACAGTCAGATACATGTGTGAGTGTGTTTTTAGTGACTATTGGAATACCATCAGATCTCTGTGGTCATAAATGTGGCATGTGTTTAGCATAAAAACACACAGCAGGAGGAGATGAGGAATGTGCTGGAGTGACTAGGTTAAGTGTGTGTGTGTGGGGTAACAAACGCCAGTAAATCACATGTGCAGAACAGAAGCTCACATTACTTCTCAAGCACACAAGACAGTGAGCAATAATTAAAGCACAGAACACCCTAACAACTGCATAACAACTGCCTAAAATACTTAAAACACTCTAGCAACTTCGTAGCAACAGCCTAAAACACTCAAAACACCCTAGTAACTCCATAGCAACTGCCTAAAACACTCAAAACACCCTAGCAACTGCCTAAATGCTCATCACCCTAGCAACTACATAGCAACTCCTTAAAACACTCAGAATGCCCTAGCAACTGCCTAAAATACTAAAACAACCATAGCAGCTTCATAGCAACACCCTAAAACACTCAGGACACACCTGCAACTGCATAGCAACAGTCTAAAACACTCAAAACACCCTAGCAACTGCCTAAATGCTCATCACCCTAGCAACTACATAGCAACTCCTTAAAACTCTCAGGATGCCCTAGCAACTCCATAGCAACTGCCCAAAACTCTCAGAACACCCTAACACTGCATAACAACAGCCTAAAATACTAAAAACACCCTAGCAACTTCGTAGCAATAGCCTAAAACACTCAAAACACCCTAGTAACTCCATAGCAACTACCTAAAATACTCAAAACCCCCTAGCAACTGCCTAAATTCTCATCACCCTAGCAACTACATAGCAACTCCTTAAAACACTCAGAATGCCCTAGCAACTGCCTAAAATACTAAAACAACCATAGCAGCTTCATAGCAACACCCTAAAACACTCAGAACGCCCTAGCAACTGCCTAAAAAACTAAAACCACCATAGCAACTGCCTAAAATACTAAAACAACCATAGCAGCTTCATAGCAACACCCTAAAACACTCAGGACACACCTGCAACTGCATAGCAACAGTCTAAAACACTCAAAACACCCTAGTAACTCTATAGCAACTGCCTAAAATGCTTCACACCCTAGCAACTCCACAGCAACAGCCTAAAATACTCAGAACACGCTAGCAACTGCATAGCAACACCCTAAAACACTCAGAACACACTAGCAACTGCATAGCAACAGCTTAAAACTCTCAGAATGCCCTAGCAACTCCACATCAACAGCCTAAAACTCTCAGAACGCCCTAGCAACGGCCTAAAATACTAAAACCACCACAGCACTTCCATAGCAACTGCCTAAATTACTCAAAACACCCTAGCAACTCTATAGCAACACCCTAAAACACTCAAAACACCCTAGCAACTGCACTGAAACAGATTAAAACACTCAAAACACCCTACTGACTCCATAGCAACTGCATAAAAAATACAATAAGCAATAATTAAAGTATAAAATTAAATGAAATAAGAATTAAATTAATTTAAACATTATATTAAATGAAACTGCTTTAATCTTTCATTTTAATTAGATAATATATATGCAAGTTGTGTGTGTTCGTGCATGTATTATGTATGTATGTCTGCAGTACTGCACCTTTCCGACACACAGACACATCCAGCACGCCGTCGTCCAGGCATTTCTTTGGCGTCACACAGAATCCCTCGTTTTCCGGGTTGTTCTTCCCGCTGGCCAGCACGTCCCGGGGCGGCGTGAAGCGGTACGCTGGGATGCCCTTCAGCTCCACCTCCTTCTCAAAGCGCATGTGGATGGACCTGCAGAAGATCCATCAAATATTGTCTTGTGCTCAGATGACTACATCTTTAACACACATGCTGCACAACAGATTCTGATGAACCTGGCAAATGTGACCCTGACCCAGGATGCTCAAGCGAGCTTGTGTTCGCTATAACGTGTTCACTATTAAGGAAGCATTCAGAAACTTGCTTTTCAGTTACAGGAAAAGTGTTCAGTAATATCAGGGGAAATTAGTTTTCCAGACTGACCCCAGCCTGATTAAACCATGTACAAAGGTTACACAAGCCGTTCTTGCAGCCGCCTTTCCCTTAAAAATCTGGGTGAGGAGTCAGTGGAAAAGGACAAGGACAGCTGTCCCCGCCAGCACAATAACCCAAGGGTCCGCTGCTCATGTTCAACTAGGTTGAAAGTGGTTTGAAAACATTCCAAGTTGGAGTCTGTCCTCGCGAAACCATGTGTGACGCCCGCTCATGCCAGAACACACGGGATTCTTTCCGCACCTAACAAAGACGGGCGGTTTAGGGCAGAGTTCCCACTGAAAATAGAGCCCAGAGTGACACGGACGGGTCAACTGGACTTCAGGTGAAAGGTCAAAGCGCAACAAGAACATATATTATATAGAGTATAAAAATAACGGTGTGCATCACTCGCCATACATCATCAGCTGACACGCACAGAGAGGAAACCGAAGAGGAACTCCCAAAATACATTTGAAATGTTAAATAAATAATTGAAAATGCACTGTAGAAAATATGACAAAAATATTACAAAAACCAAACATACAGAAATGAAACACTGAACCATATTACTCTTAATAAATTAAAAATAAAACTGAAATGTTAAATAAATAAATAAACAAACAAACAGTACAAGTAACTGATAATAGATTATATACAATTAAATATAATATACATTTTATAAAATTGTTTAAAAAGTTTATAAAAGGCAAATAATAAGTCAAAGTAACATAAACCCTCTAACATACAGAGTGGAAATTAAAAACTGAACTGCATTGCTTTAAATAATAATAAAAAAAAATAATATATATATATATATATATATATATATAT